GGCTGAAGAAAAGTACGAGGAAGGAACTGAATGACCAGACAAGGAGTGAATGAGGTCTTTGCAGGCATGAACAGAGCTAAGAAAAATAGCAGCAGCATGGACCCCAGCCTGTCGAAGTCCTAAGCCTCCTAGCCGGACGGGAAGGGAGGCCTTTAGCCGAGCCCAGGATGAGACCGAACCTCCAATGAGGTCTGAGAGAGCATCAAACACTACAGAGTCAAATTGTTGGCAGACAGGGAGAAGGACAGCTGGGGGGGAGGTTCGCAAAGCACACAAGAATTTAGGTAATGTCAGGCAAGAACGCAACAGAGAAAATTCGGATTGGGGGTCTTCGAGAGACGGAAGCAAAGAGATCAGAGACTTGATTTTGCCAACTCTCTTAGCAACTACTGATTGGCAAAAGGAATCAGGACCCACGGGGGCACCTAAAAGGACAAATCCTTCCGAAGAAACTGGGATTATTATTATTATTATTATTGTACAGTGTATACAATGCTTCTTTCAGTTCCTGTATATTCCATTCCTTCATTCCTGATACAGGTACCAGAGGTAGACCCAGTCCAGGACTATCATTAATAAACTCCAGCACACTCTTCTCCCCTCCCTCCAGGTCAACCTTATTAATAACTACCAGCTTCACTTTATTCACCAATCCTTCTTTATACAGCTCTAGTTCATCCTGCAGTATCTGATACTGAGCTGCCAATGGTAGTACTTCATTAGCATTCAGCTTCCCTTTACCATACAGTGAGGGTGAGTTATGTCTGCTATTAACTGGTTCAGTAGTTGTTGCAGTTTCTAACTCACTTCTTTCTACATTAATAGAAGCTCCTTCAAGATTTCTTTCTTCTTTATTGTTTTGTGATTGTAAATGGTTGTCAGTCTCTCCTGGCTCTTTCTCTCTTACATTCAGTACAATGACTAGTATACTGCACCTCTCAATGTGTCGGAGGAAGGCGTGGCCTAGTCCATAGTTACGATGAGCACCTGGTAACAACCCAGGAATATCAGCAACTAAAAACATAAAATTTAGGGAAATTAATATGAACCCATTGAACTATTCAGTATTTTATAATGCTTGGTTCTGACTAATGATTGTTTAAAGATCCCTTGCTGTATTAATAACACACACAATAAAACATAAGCTATCTGTATGTACATATACATGTATGTGCTATACCACTAACTGGCTATCTGTTCCTCATACTGGTTCCAGTCCATTATCCCAATGTGAGGGTTGAGGGTTGTAAATGCATAGTCAGCTACTTTGGATTTAGCCCGAGATAACACACGAAGGAGAGTTGATTTACCAGCATTAGGGAACCCAACCTGATGAGTAATAAATAAATTAATAAATTGGTAAATATTGTGTTCAGTAAATTTAGTAAAGGATCTTTGAAATGCTAAATTAAATTGACACATTATTACTTTAGTAAAGCTACAATTAAAAGAATACATACCAGTCCAATGTCAGCTATTGTCTTTAATTCCAGTTCAATGATCAGTTCATCTCCATCAGTACCTTCAGTGTACTGGTATGGGACTGTATTAGTAGGTGTGGCATAAGAGGTGTTACCAGCCCCGCCCACTCCTCCTCTAGCAGCTGTATAGGTATTACCATCAGACATTAGATCATAAAGGACTTCACCATTGGAACTGATAACAGTGCCCACTGGAACCTAATGATAACAAGAAAATAAGTACCTACATGAATATGTATCAGAAAATGTAATAAAAATTTGAGGTAATTTCGGAGCCATTTTAAAAAAAACCATGGGCTATAGCTTTGGGTATTTTTCAAAATTTTGGTGTTTTCTTAAAATGGCCGTAACTTGAAAAATTAAAGTCAGAATCACCTCAAACTTTCTACACAGCGTAAGGGTAACAATATGTATCAGAAAATGTAATAAAAATTTGGGTTGATTTTGGAGCTATTTTTTAGAAAAAACCATGGGCTATAGCCTTGGGTATTTTTCGGACTTTTGGCATTTCCTTAAAATGGCCGTAACTTGAAAAATTGAAGTCAGAATCACCTCAAACTTTCTACACAGCATAAGGATATCAATATGTATCAGAAAATGTAATAAAAATTTGAAGTGATTTTGGAGCCATTTTTTTGGATAAAACATGGGCTATAGCCTTGGGTAGTTTTCAAAATTTTGGCATTTTCTTAAAGGCCGTAACTTGAAAAATTGAAGTCGGAATTACCTCAAACTTTCTACACAATACAACTACATGTATACATACATAATCTATAGCCCATTGCTCATTAATCAAAATTACTTTTATTCTACCATGCTTGTTTTGAATTGACCAATCAGATTGCATTATATGAGGTGTCTAAATCACTTATAATACCCCGGGAAAATATTTAGAAACCTTCGGGAAATTATTTAGATACTTCTGCCAAAGTTTGGGAAATTTTAGTAATGAATAACTTAATTGACAATAATATTATTAGCATTGTTATTTTTGAATTGTTATATGGATGTTTTTGCAGTTATTGAAGCTGAAGTGCCTTTCTTCATCTAGAGATAATTTTTGACGTTTCGGAGAATGAAGTGAATTGGTATCATCATTAACGACTGCTGTTTTTGTTTGTTGTAATATTGCTGAAACATCCTCATTTTGTTGATCTGAAGTACGCTTATAAATTCGTACACCATCCGTGCTTCTGTGACCTGTTCTTTTCATGATTAATTGTTCATCAACACCAGCTTGAAATAGTCTAGTAGCAGCAGTCACGCGAAGTGAGTGGTTTGTTTTGTAACCATCAATTCCTGCTGCAGCAAAGATTCTTTTAACAGTATTTGATAATGTGTTATGCCCAACAGGAACATTAGAGTACCATATGTCACTTTTTGGTTTTCTTAGTGCTGTCAAATAGAAACATCTCCTTTTTCTTTCTTCGATGGGTGGGCATGACTGATGTACTTTTGTAGTAATGACACAAAGCAACGAGATGGGTTAGTGCTATTTTCAAAATGTTGAACTGTTTTTGGCTCAATTTTTCTATGCTTCAATCCTCCTGGATTATTCTTCAATGAATTTTCTCTATAAATGACACATTTTCTACCGTTAGATGCTGTTTCGATATTTATTTGATCGAATTGTAGTTCTCGATGCTCCTGCCCACTTCGTAAGGCAAAGTATAGCCCACACATATAAATGACAGTATCCAATAGTACTTGAGGAGAGCTGCTTCCTAATATTCCTTTAGACCACAGCTCTTCTTCTTCTTGAAATGATATT